TATTTCTCCTCGGTTGATTCAGTTTTGTTATTTGATTTTAGAGCCAATAACTCAACCTTTGTGAGATTTTGTGTGGTGTTTGTGTTCTGACCACTCTCTCCTCCTGGAATACACCGCCTGCCCCGTCCACCATCATTCACCCTTGATCTGGCAACTTCGTTCTACCCTCCTTATCTTTCCTCCATTGAGGACAATGTCGTGCTCAAGTGTGGGGGGATGTTCGATTATGTATGTGGGTGAATGTTGGCTGTTTGTGTGCTTGGAGCCTAGTCCACTATCCAATTTTTAAATTTGAGGGCTCCAAGTACGTGTTTCCTTGAAAATTGCCTGCTCAGTATGCTTTGAATTGACAGTCTCTATAGTAATGTGCAACCTAGGGAGGTAGTGTAGCACTATGGAAGATGTTGATGTATAAGATTTTTCCTATCTAGATCTCTGCTGTGCCAGTTGATTTTGTGAATTAGTGGAGGTAGGACCGTTGAATTCATGTAATAGTGGTGACTCTATTTGGATTGTGTTATGGACTCGTGTATCGAACAGGGTGCTCCAGTGTGAATGAAAAAGCAGTTGGTCTTTCATGTCAAAATCATTAAATCTTAAACATGGGGTAAGCCCAACGTGTGCGGCACCGTTCATTGCACAAAATCGGGTTTTGGAAGAGATTTTAGTGATCCTTGGTGGGGTAGGCCTACAAGGTGAAGCTAAGTTGTCTCTAGTAGAAGTAAAATTTCCACCCGTTGAACGGTTTGCCTACTTGAGGATGTGTTTTTAAGGGCACGGATAGAGCTTCCGATCCCCCTTAATTTCATTGACCCTCCGCATGAGTTGAGGAAAAGGAGTTAAAAGAAGTACTCTAGCGAGCGCCAGATTTACAGAAATTGCTCTTGCTCGACTAATAAGGGTCGACCGTGCGAAAGACTGCAGTTGGAACCCCCGCTAAGTGAATTAAAAAAAGAAGTTAAATGAAATTGAAAAAGGGGTTCCAACGGTGAAATGAAGTGAAAGAGCACCCCGGTACAACGAGTCCTTGGTCGTTGAATGGTGAGAGTCTCCTGGCTTGAGTCTAGTACTCGCATTGAGAGAGATAGGGGACGTCTTAGAAGACCAGTTGACCTCGTAAGTTGCTAAATGATCTAGAAAATCCTCTGCAGACGATCGGGGTTGCATGTTGCTATAGAGGTCTCGAGAGTTGTATTGGTTTGAGTCAAGTTTGCTTGGGGACAAGCATACGGTTAAGTGTGGGGGAGTTTGATAGACCAATAATTACACATGTTTCTACCCCTATTCTTGAGCCGTTTGAGATGTCGATTCCCGCGTTTTAGGCCGATTTCACGCTAGGTTGTCCGTGTTTGTGATGTTTCAGGTCCTAGCACATGAATGAAGGCCTGGGAACGAGTTCGGGGTCGATTGGACGAAGATTGGACGTTTGGCGAGAAGCTGGGAAGCCACACGGGCACCATTGCACCTCACACAGCCGTGTAGGGGCCCCTTGTGGCCGTGTGAAGGCTCGGTAAAAGCCACACGGGCAGCCTGGGGAGCCACACGGCCGTGTGGCCTCTGCCCGTGCAGCTTGCCTGGTTGCCCACTAATCGAAACGCCGCGTTTGGACACTCACACGTGCAGCTGGGAAAGTCACACGGCCGTGTGAGTCGGGAATCTCTGTTTGAAGCCAAATTTCGAGCCAAAGGAGAGAGAGAGCTGGGTTTTGGTTCCCAAACACTCAAGGGACGAACCCTAGTGAGAGAGAGAGAGAGAGAGCGACTTGGGACCATTCTTGGAGCTATTTTGGAGGTTTTCTTCGTCATTTGATCTCGGGAATCAAGCTTGGAGATGGAGATTGAAGATCTAGATCAGATTTTTGCAGTCTCTCTCTTCTCTATGGAGTAACTTCCCTTCACTTAGGTTTTGAGGAACCCTAGTTCCATATGTTAGGATCTTTCTTGTATGAAGTTTTGGATGCTATATTGTGTGATTATAATCAATTGAGGCATGATTTATTGAGTCAATTGAATCCTGATCAAATTCTCTTGAATTCTGCTTTAACCTTTGATAGATAAAATCTAATTAGGTTAAGAGAGCTTCCTTGATTGATAGTAGTGAATTGGTTGTGCGAGAGTCAATCAATTCACTGCTTTGTACTGGAATTCATTCCAGTAGTGGAGATCTGTGTGAATCGCCTTAGCAGTCTATCCCGGTGAAGGCTAGTCGCCTGCCGGGTATTCTGTCTGAGAGGGCTTTGTCAGCTTAAGAGATTCCAAGCTAATTTAGGATCTTCCGCAGTTTAATCAACAGTAAAACAACCAAAAGGAATTACAACTTGGACCTAATTGAGGAGCTAGGGGGTATCATACCTAAGTGAGTTCCCAAACTGTAATTAGTAGTTTTACTTAGTTTAGTTAGTAGAGTAGTTTAGTTAATCAATCCTTAATCTGATTTGCTAGATAATGAACTGAAGCTGAGTAATAGTACATCTAGAGACCCGAGGATTCGATATTTATTACTTGCACCACTATACTGCAGTCCCTTTCATTCGTTACACTTGGCCATTGTTAGGTGTTGTGTCGTAGCGTGTCAGAGGGCGTCAAAAATTCCAGCCTGTTTGGGCTATCTTCCAATTCCACCTAGCATGTCTTCCAAGTTGATGCACAAATGGGCCTTTGTTTGTGAACCACAAGTCCACATTCAATTGTGGATTCTCTGGTGCCCCAAGCACCTAGCCGGATCTTGGAAATTGCTAGGGGAGTTACCTCTTGTTGATGTGACTTGAATTGGACTATCAGCCGATACAACTGGAAGTCGCGGGGCTCATTGTTGTTTGGGTTCGTGTTATGGGCCTAGTCTGTAACTGTTTTTCCTCTACCATATAGGATTAGGGTTAGACCTAGGAGAAGAACTATACATACGTCTCATACTCCTCTGTAATTTGAATCTCCTCGAAATATAGTGAAACTGGCTCTCTCCTGCCAATGGACTAGCTAACACACATTGTGTTAGTGAACCACGTAAATCGTGTGTCGTGTACTTTCGTATTCTTGCTTTGTCAAATCCTCCAATTTCCCTATACGTAAAGAAACAGTCATGACAAGTAGTATTTGAGCTTCGGTCGGAAATCAGGCTAGGATTTTGATTCTGAAGAATGATGTCGATAAAATGAAGATCGAGAAGTTCATGGGGGAGAACAGTTTCAGTATATGGCAGATCAAGATGTAGGCGCTATTGAAAAGCAAGGGTTTTGGGGGGCCGCTGATTGTGAAAGAGAAGAAGGCAGTGGCCGATGACTATGGGTTGAATACCCTTGAGGAGAACTCCCACTCTACCATCATGCTATCAATGTCTGATGACATCATCATTGAAGTTGTTGCTGAGAAGACTGTCGCGGACTTGTGGTTGAAGTTGGAGTATCCGTATATGACAAAGTCCTTAAACAGCAAGCTGCATCTCAAGCAACAGTTGTTCAGCTTGCGGATGCAAGAAGATAACTTGTCATTGGGGGATGTTAAAACTACTCTTCACACGAGAGAGATTAGGCATAAGGCGTCCGGATCTGGTACAGGAGGTGAAGCATCAGAGTTTGATGTTATAGGTGGAAAGGGAAAAAAGAAACTTGGTAAAGGGAATTCGAATAGAAACTCGAATTCTAAGGGTCCTGGTTCACCGTCAAGCGATGCCTATCACATTTGTAAGGACGTGGGGCATTGGAAGTACAAATGTCCCAGAAAGATAGGGCATAAGAAGAATCAAGGTTCTGTTGACATGGCAGAAGTGGACAACAGTTCTGAAGAAGATCTTGCCTTTGTTGTAGATGAGAAGGCACATTGTGGCGATGTGTGGTTTCTGGATACTGCAGCTTCATATCATATGTCTCCAAATAAGGACTTCTTCTCAACCTAAGAGTAGATAAAATGGTGCTAACGTGGTTATGGTGAATGGAACTGTCTGCAAGGTGGTTGGAATCGAGTCTATCAAGATTCGGACACATGCTGGTTCGTTCTATACCGTGAACGAAGTCAGGCATGTTCCAAAAATGACGAAGAATCTTATCTCCTTGAGACTTCTCGACAACAAGGGTCTAAGTTTCAAAGGAAGTGGTGGAGTTGTGTATGTTTGCAAAGGTTTGAGGAAGGTGCTGAAAGGCGTGAAGCGTGGGACCTTGTTGCATTACAAGGGTCTGTGTTGTCAAGTTATGCTATTGTTGCATCGCCTCAGGCTCATCAGGAAGATATGACCACTCTCTGGCATATGAGATTGGGTCATATGAGTGAACGAGGGAAGCAAGTTTTGTCGAAGAGAGATCTTCTTTGCGGGTACAAGGTGTAGAATTTGGAATTCTACGAGCATTGTGTGTTTGGGAAGCTACATCGCAGTAAGTTTCCTAAGAAGGGTATCCCTCGGACAAAGGGGATACTGGATTACCTCCACTCTGACTGTTGGGGTCCTTCACGAGTTGAATCCATTGGAGGCAACATGTATTTTCTATGTATTATTGATGATTACTCAAGGTTTACTTGGATTTTCATGATGAAGTAGAAAAGTGAAGCCTTCACGAAGTTCAAGCAGTAGAAGACTTTAATGGAGAATCAGACCGGAAAGAAGATTAAGAAAATTCGAACAGAAAATGTTCTGGAGTTTTATAGTTCTAAATTTAACGAATTCTGCAAGGATGAAGGGATTGTCCGTCATCGGACAGTTAGAGACACACCTCAGTAGAATGGCATTGCAGAAAGGATGTACCAAGCATTGTTGGAGAGAGCACGGTGTTTGCTCTCTAATGCTGGACTAGATAGAAGTAGGGCTGACAAACGGTAACCAGGTAACCGGTTTACTGTTTTACCGAACCGGTAACCGTCGGGAAACGGTAAACGATTACCATCGGTATCGGTATCTGGTTGCGCGTGGCGACGATCCAATTTACCGGACACAGGCTCGGTATTTACCATCGGTAAATCGGTAAATACCGAACGGGGAACGCTACGTTTTGGGCCAAAGTGAAACCCTAGAATTCAGCCCTGCACCCCTGCCCAAAACGCGCCTCCTTCGTCCTTCCGTCGCTTCACCAGTTCACCCTTCGCCCCTTCCCCTTCGCACGCAGAGTCGCAGATGGAGAAGTGCAGAAGGCCTCCTCCCCTTCGCCCACCGCCTCTCCTTCTCCAGTTCACCCTTCGCCCCTTCCCCTTCGCACGCAGAGTCGCAGATGGAGAAGTGCAGAAGGCCTCCTCCCCTTCGCCCACCGCCTCTCCTTCTACAGTCCGCTTCTCCCGCCGCCTCTCCTTCTCCTCTCTGCTTTTTATCACCGGCGAAGAATGATGCCCTGACTCTCCCTCGCCGACGCAGCTTCCTAGACGGCCAGACGCCGGAAGAGCCACCTTTATCCACCATTCCTCCTCCGCCGGGCCACCGCCTGCCCACATCCTCTGCGCCAGTGCTCCTCCAGTTGTGGGCCGCCACCTGCCCTAGTTCCCTTCCCTTGCCGTCGAGGCAGCAACAGGCCAACAACCAACAGCCGCCAACGCAAACCAGCAAGGCAACAACTCAGCAAGTCAACAACAGCCAACAAAATCAAGTCCAAATGTATGTAATTGAATTGTTGAAATATTGAATTTGAGATTGTGTTTTGTGTGAATTGAGAATTTGATGAATTGAGAATTTGGTGTGAATTGAGAATTTGAAGAATTGTGTTTTGTGAAGGCTCCTCCTCGCCTTCTTCTATTTCCTTAGGGGATTGATTTAATTATTGTTGTAAACATGTTCCATATTGATGTATTCTGGTGATTGGTGAAGATTGGGGACAATGTACATGGGCATGGAATAAAATTGGGTTTCTTGTGTATGAAATGAACTAATTATTGCGAGCTTTTTTGGTGGTTTTTTGCACCATCTTAGTGTGTTTCTCTGCTGCATTTCGCCATTTTTAGTAGAGTTGTTTTTTCTTGTGTTTTTACTTTTGGTGCTATGCATTCTGAGTACAGGTTGGAAGTGAATTGAGATTGTTTTTTTTGTAGGACGAAACCTTCTGCTGGCTGCCGTGGAGGAGGTAGTAAAAAGAAAGCTAGTTCTTTACCTCCTCGAAGCTCTTCAAAAAAAGGGAAGGCTTCGACTAGCAAACCTTCTTCCACTATTGCAAATCCTCCTCCACCTGCAGCAGCAGCAAATCCACCTCCATCTACAGCAAATCCTCCTCCATCGGTTGAGGTACCTGGTGTACAGAAGAAAATTGACAAGGGGAAGGGGAAGAAGTCAAAATATAAGTGGTGGATTCCTTACACCCGTGTGATAGTTGATAACTACCCATACGACAAATGCAAACGGTGTGGGCAGCTGATCAAAGCTTATTCAACCTTCAATGGGACTAGTGGTTTGAAGAGCCATCACCTAATGTGCGAGAGGAAGGCGAAGGAAGCTAGTGGTCAGTCGGTATTGAATTATCAACCTGGAAGTGGAGATGGTGAGGTAGGCTCTCTTACTCCATGGAAGTTTGATCAGAACAAATCTTGACATGCATTAGCTATGATGATTATCTTGGATGAGCTTCCGTTTAGATTTGTTGAGCGGGAGGGGTTTAGGAGATTTATGGCAACAACTCAGCCTTTGTTTGTGATACCAGGAAGACAAACAGTAAGATCTGATTGTTATGTCATTTTTCTGGAGAAGAAAGAAATATTGATTGAGTTTTTTAACTCAAAGTGCAAAGGAAGAATATCTATCACTACAGATATATGGACTAGTGATAACAACCAGAATTTTATGTGTGTGACTGCACATTTTATTGGAGATGATTGAAAGTTGCAGAAGAGGATTATTTGCTTTGTTCTCATTACTAGTCACACGGGGAAGGATATTGCAGATACTTTGGAGAAGTGTCTACAAGAATGGAAAGTGAAGAGTTTGTTTTGCATGACAATGGATAATGCCAGTTCTTATGATGTTCTTGTTGAGTGCATGAGAACAAAAATGAAGAGGCGGGGAACCGATTTGCTAGATGGGAAGTATTTACAGTATAGATGTGTGGCTCATATCATCAATCTAGTTGTTTCTGATGGATTGAAGAAAGTTGGATTTGCTGTGGATATGGTAAGGGATTGTGTGAAATGGGTGAAGTCATCCCCAACTCGGAGTGCAAAGTTCAAGAAAGGCATCAGGTATCTAGATATGGATGGGAAAATACTTTTGTCTTTGGATGTACCGACTAGGTGGAATTCCACCTATCTGATGTTTGATTCTGCAGAGAGGTTTGAGCAGGTTTTTAAGTTCATGTATGCTAGTCCTAGTGATTCTTCATTTCGAGACTATGTGGATTCCAATAAGGGTCTTCCAACTGAAGATGATTGGAGCAGTATTAAGCGGCTCATGAAGTGCCTGAAGTTCTTTTACAAGCTTACTCTTCGTGTATCGGGTACAGGAACTAATAACTATCAAATTTTAAAATTAAATTGAATGATTATGATTTATGAGTTATATTATTTATACTAATGTTCGCTAATTTTTACTTTGTTTCAGGAACATCATATGTCACTGCACATACTTTCTGCAAAGCCATTGTGGATATTCATGAAGTGATAGCAACATTGAAGAAAGATGCAGATGGACAGATACAAAGAATGGCAGAAAGAATAGAGGCACAGGTGAGAAAATATTGGTTTGAGAATGATGTTTATGATGAGGAGGATAACCTTAGGATAAACAGGATAGTTTACATGGCCTGTGTGCTGGATTCCAGGCATAAGCCTATTTGACTATGATGTTGGAGGAAATGTATGGGACCTCAAAAGGGGGAGATTTGGAAGATGAAGTAAAGAAGGAGATGATTGCATTGTACGATGTCTACAAGATGAAGTTTGCAACTCCACCCTCTGTTTCTGTGCCTACTACCCAGACTACTACTCCTATTGAGACTAGTGACACATCTGTTGTTATGGGAGGAGCATTTGAAGCTCGGTTCCTGCAAAAGAGAAAGGAGCAAATTGAGAGAGGGGGGGGGGTCGAGGTTGTGGTGAGTTGGAGCAGTATTTGAGAGATGTTGGTGATGCTATTAATGAGGAGATTGATGATCGGAAGTTTGATATTCTGAAGTGGTGGGCTCGGAATAGTGTTAGATATCCCATTCTTTCAGAGATGGTTAGAGATATATTAGCAGTTCCAGTCTCCTCTGTTGCATCGGAGTCCACTTTCAGTTGTGGAGGTCGAGTTCTTAGTCCTTTCAGGTCTTCTTTAAGCCCAAACATTGTAGAGGCATTGATTTGTGCTGAAGATTGGATAAGCTATGAAAGTGGAAAGACTGCAGATGAACTGAATGATAAGGAAGAAGATCAAGAGGCGATCGATTATGAAAGTGGTAAGAATTCAATTTATTATTCTACTTTGTCTATACTATTTACTATTTAAATTTTAAACCATTTTCCATTAGTAACATGCTAACATTTGTGTATTTTATATGCACTAGTTACTAATACTTTCCAATCTCGAGTGGAAACTGCAAGTGACATCCCAAGTGGAACACATGGATCTGTTGTTGGGGTTGATGATGATGATGATGAGGAGGAGGAGGAGGAGGAGGAGGGTAATGATGAAGAATCCACCGAGTCCGACGAAGACATGAACCAAGATGCCGATGATGATCCCGATGATACTCTTCTCAGGACTTTGAAGAAGAAAGGTTGTGCAAATGTTGGTGGTGCTACAAGTTCTACTGGAGAAGGAGGAGCATGAGCTATTGGTTATTAACTTATTTGGTTGTCTATTTTAATTTTTAAGTTTGGACTTTGAACTTGTGTTGAATTTAGACATTATCATTGGGCACTTTAGTTGATTGACGAATGACGATTATGTGTTATGTTGATTGTTGACTTGTTGTCCCTATGAATTTGACGATGTTTGTCGAATTGTCATTTGAAGAATTTGAATATTTGATGAATGATGATGCTTAATGAGAGTTGATGTTGGTTCATGAATCATTATTGTTGACCCTTTAAACTTATGTTAAATTAAATAGATTAATAGATAGCAACTTTGAGTTTGTCAAATATTAAGTTAACTAGTTAAGGCATTACATATAACATATACAACATTATTCACAAATATAAAATATTACATACATGAATGTAAGTATAGGCCTAAAAATATTATAAATAAGAGTTAATAATAAATTATTAATTACAAAAATGATGAAAAAAACTAAAAAAATCAAAATATTACAACATCACCCCACTTCCAGAAATTCGGTTCGGTAAATATTAGGTAAACCGACCGAAAAACCGCACGAAATCGCTTCTCATGGTATTTCGGTAATACCAGTTTGTAACCGTTTACAGGTAATTCGGTAATCGGTACACCGGTTACAAACCGATATCGGTAATCGGTAACCAGTTTCGCCAACTTCGGTATCAGTAAATTGTTTACCGACCGAATCCCACCCTAGATAGAAGGTTCTAGACAGAAGCAGTAAACATGGTGACCTCATCAACCGTGGACCTCACACATGTATCGAGTGTAAAACTCCTTTTGAGGTGTGGTATGGTAAACCTTCTGATTACTCTCCATTGAAAGTTTTCTATTGTCCAGTTTACTACATGTGGATGAGGGTAAACTGAATCCAAGAGCAAAGAATGGTGTATTTTTGAGTTTTGGAGATGGAGTTAAGGGAGTCTGGTCACCTTCTAAGCATCGAGTCATACTTAGCAGGAATGTGATATTTGATGAGAAGTCTATGTTTAACCCCATATTGAAGGTTATTGTTGTTGGAGATAGCAGGAATATTGATTAACAAGTGGAGCTTCAAACTCTCAAAGAGAGTGAGTTTGAGAACCAAGGTGGAGAAGACCAACACGAGGATGTTTCTGACGAGCCAGAAACTTCAGAGTCCAGTGTAGCAGCTAAACAATCTATAGCTTCCGGTAGACCGAAGAGAGCGACTACAGGAGTACCTCCACAAAGGTATGGCTTTAAGGACATGGTGGTGGGTGCTTTTCAGGTGGCTAAAGAGGTGGATGTTGGTGAACCAGAGTCCTACAGAGAAGCAGTTTCGTGTGGCGAAGCCGCTCAGTGGCTTGCTACAATGGGAGACGAGATGGAATCCCACGACAGGAATCAGACTTGGGAGTCGGTCAAACGCCCACAAGGAAGGAAGATTTTTACAAACAAGTGGATCTACAAGAAGAAGGAAGGATTCACTTCTGAAGAGGGCATTAAATTTAAAGCTCGCGTGGTTGCAAGAGGCTTATCGCAGAGAGAAGAAGTTGACTACAATGTGATTTTATCACTAGCGCTTAGACATACTTCGATCAGGGTGCTAGTAGAAATAGTGGCACATTATGACTAGGATCTCGAGCAGCTAGACGTAAAGACAACTTTCCTACAGTTGGAGGAAGAAATTTACTTGACTTAACCATGAGGATTCCTGGTTCCGGGAAAAGAA